GAACACAAACTCAATGATATTTCTAATGTTTTAATGTGTACATTGAATGATGGGTCATAGGTACTCAATTTATTATTATGCTTCATAATTTATTCATGTTACATATATTCTTTATGGATATCAAATATTACATATTATAATTTCTTAAAATATGCTGTGGTGGAAATTATAAATGAACAAATGAAGTCTCCCTGAAAGAAGATCTATATTTCTTGGGAAGAACCAAGATTCCCTGACAGAAGCTACCCTATGTAGAGGACAAAGTAGATCCTCAATAAATACTGCTGTGTTTACTGTTTTTCCCAAGGACACCTGGGGGGTCTGGATTCCCTTCCCTTTGGTGCTCCCTGACATGCGGAACTACCTCCTTCCATACATCTAGCCTAAACCCCACAGTGCTGGCCAAGTCCTGACACATGTATGACAAGAGACTGACACCTGGTGGATACAGAATGAATTTAATGAAACGACTAGAAAGCAAGCCTTTCACTTTAGTTGGTGAAAGTGGCAATAGGGTGAGGGATAGGGGAGGAAGAATGAGGAAAAAATGAAAATCAAGAAACAGGAAAAGGAAGGAGCTCCATCTCTGGGATGTAGGTAGGGAAAAAAAAGGGACTGTCATCTAAATGAGACTGAAGAGCAAGTCCCCACAGGAGAGTGACTTCCCTCGCCTTCCTTCTGAGATCAAAAGAGGTTAGAGCTGCAGCAAGGGAAATGCATGATTGAGGAAACAAGGAAGCAGGTCTAGCTGATCTCAACCTAGCAAGCTGAAAGTACCTGTACTTCAGAGTAGTAGCTGGGTGCCAGCTGCTCCTCCAGCAACTCCCTCTCCCAGTTTCCATTTGGGGAATTCATGTGATTCTGAGGCGGCTGACCCACCCTTTTCCCCAAAGGTGTAGTCCCTGATGTAGAATAAGCAAATTAGCATATGCCATCCTCCTGGCCACAGTGATTGGTCAGGGGTGGACATGTGACCTAGGCTGCCTAATCAGAGTGAGTCTTGGGACTTCTGTTAGGATTCCTGGCACAGAGATGCCTTCTCTTTCTGGTTGGACAGAAATGGGGTAACATGTAACCCTAGGAATGCTTGTCGACATGAGGTGGCCCAGGCTTAAGATGATCCTACAGAAGGTAGAACAATGAGAAAAGTATTTAGAGACATATGGAGCCACTGCATCAAGCTTCACCTGGAGCCAGCACTACCTCTGGACTTTCCAGTTACATAAGCCAACAAATCCTTTTTATTTTAAGCCAGTTTGAGTTAGGTTTTTCTAGGATTTAAATCCAAAAGATCCCTAACCTATACATTCATCATACTTACCCCATCCCTATCTTCCCACAGGATAGCACAGGGATCCAGGTAAGAAGGTCACTACAGATTTATTGGTGACACTAAAGTCAAGGGTATCAAGCTGAAAAGGTCAGAGGCAGCAACTAGGCACTATGTGAGACTGGGTGACTCAGCTGTCTATACAGAGGAGAATGGACTCCCTTTGGAAAAGAATAGCCAAACAAGAAGCAAGTGCAGAGAAGGGCCCCTACAAGGCAGACAGGTAGAGTTAACGTATGGATATAAACATTCTTCCCCACAGACCTATCATGGGGGTGTTGCTTTGGGGTCTTTATGCTCACGGGATAAGGAACTTTGAAGCACATGCCCTTTTAAGTCTTTATTACCCTGTGCTGTGGTGTCTACCTCTCCCTTTACCAACTGAAGAGCCTCCTTTTGGCTTCTACTACCCTTAATGACACTCACTTTTGGGGGGACAAGAGGAATTTTATCTTCTGCTTCTTTGGCATGCCGGGAACTGGGGCCCCTTCCTCCTTTGGAAACAGCACCATCTTCCTGACCTTGGGTGAGCACTGCCCTCGTCTCAGCCTCTCCCATTGGCCCTGGCCTCTCTGGCCCTCCAGCTGAGTTGCTTTCCCTTCCAGAGCCCCACATCTCCCATGGTAACCTTGAGGACTGGGCAGACTCCATGGCAGACTTCTCAGGGGTAGAATTCCTGTCCCCACTTCCACCTGACTTTTTTCGAGGGCGCCCTCGTTTTCTTTTGGCATCACTTGCTGTATCCTCTATATCCTGCTTTGCTGCTTTAGCTGGTGGGTCCTGCCCACTGGCCTCACTAACAGGTACTTCAGCTATCCTCTTGACACCCTTGTCATGGGGTCCTGGGTCACCACCTATGCCTACCTCCCTGTTCTCTGTGCCCTGGGGCTTCATGAGTCCCCCAGGTGGAGTTCGTCCAGGCCCAGGTCCAGGCAAAGCAGGAACAGTTGGTAAGATCATGTTAATGATGGGCACAGCTGTAGGGGGTCCCCCAGCCCTACTGGACAGAGGCAGTGTAGCCACTTTCAGGGCACCTGAAGAAAGCTTGGGGGCCAGGATGGGAGGAGAGACTGGGATTGGTGGAATAAGTGAGGGAGGGGCCCGGGGAAGGATCAGAGGCAGCCGGGCCACTAGGGCATTAACCTGCGGGTTACTGGCTGCTGGGGCAGGGCTCTCAACTACACTCTTCTTCCGCTCTCCACGCACTGGAGGGCCAGCCCCAGCCCGGGCTTCCAGCTCCTTAGGAGGCTAAAAAGTAAAGAGAAGAACACAGTAAGGCATGAAGACTCAATTTTGGAGGAAAAATATGCACCAGAAGCACAGGAGGTGAAAAAGTACAGGATCCAACAGAAGAAGGGTATGCTAAGCTCCCAGCCCCGGACAGCAGTCAGGGCCATTAACCTTCTTACCTGGGCTGGTCTCTCCGGTTTCTTATGGGCTCCGCCCTCTAGGTTCTCTACCCCATTCTTGGATTTAGATGACCGTTCCCGAGGGGCATGTTCGTCCTCTTCTGTGGAAGTGCCAGAAAAAGTAATAAAGTGAGGATGAGGAGGAAACTGAGGAATAGAGGAGTGATGCGATTCTGACTGACAGGCAGAGATGGGAAAGAGGTGTGTCTAAAGCATGTCTTAGAAGGGCCTCCATGAATAGGAGGCAAATATAGGGTGTCTTTATTCTAGCACGTGGGGGAGCCTTTGAAGTTGAAAGTGGCTGAGAGCTTCTCAGACATAACACAGCGTCCACTCACCAGCGAGGCCCATGGCCTTAAGCACGTGGGCATGTGCAGATCGGGCAGAGATGAGATGCTGCTGTAGCAGGAAGCGAGCGACTTCAACGATGGAACTGAAGGACCGTTTCAGGATTCGCTCTGCCCAGTCACAGGTCAGGGCACAGGCTGCCTCTACCAGTTCATCCCGAGGTGCTGGGGTTACTTCTGGGCCCATTTCTGGCTGTAGTGGGGAAGGACATGCCCAATCGCACTCCAAACTAAAGGACTCTTTCCCCCTCTCTGACACTACTATTGACCAAAGCTGAGACCAGACTGGGGATGGGAGTAGCCTCTATTCATCCAGTTCCCCAAACCCGCAAATTCCCTTTATCCTCTGAGTCAGCCGTAGGGTAGGCAGAAGGGCATATCCTATATACCCAGAAGCTATGTACATAATGACCAAGACTGTGTCAGCTCTCAAAACATGTCCTGAAGACCTCTGACTTTTACCTGGGACAGAAGAGAGGAATCGGAGGGTTATTTGTTACTTACACTCTCAGAACCCTTTAGGTCAAGTCCAGGCAGGTATGGCATAGATACCGTGGTCTTCCTTCGTATGCCACTGTAGCAATATCTGATGCAAGTTAAGGAGCAGCCAACACATGGCGATCTCTAAGCCCCATAGGCAAGTTAAGCCGTTTCTGCTCCTGGCTCTCCACATCCTAGTTTTCCTTCCCCCGGTCCTCCAGCCCCAACCTCTCCAGTCAAGGATACTTGGACTGGCCCCGGCCTCCAAGCCTTCGAGCTTTGATGTCAGGGAAGATCTCTCTGATGATTTTGCCAAAGTTGGCTGTGCTGAGTGGGCGGCAACAGGCGAGACTCTCGCAGTACCTTCTGAGTGAGGGGGGCAGGGTAGGAAGCTACTCAGAGGAGGAGGCCATGGGATCAGGGGAATCAGGTGTGAGGAACTCAGGGTTCCTAGGGATCAGGTGTGAGGAACCCTTTAAGAAGGCAGACTCTATCAAGGCAGGGAGCTCTCCAGCAGTGAGGGGGTAGTCCTGTACCTACCAACCCACTCACCCACCCACCCAAACCCTCCACCCACCGATAGGCATCATAAACGCTTTGCTTTGGCAGACAGGTGTCAGTGTGCTCTTCTAGGTGGTTGCGGATCCACCTATAGGCATACATGTATTCCTCATTGCTGAGCGTACTCGGTTCTGAGCTGCAGGACAAGGAAAAGTATTACTAAGACCCTAACAGTTGTCCTGGTTCTTCCCAGACTAACACTTCAATAGTACTGGACTAAAAAGGTCCATCCAGAATCTACCTTTCCCTGGTAAAGCAAGCCAGGGCGGGGACCCTTCTTCCTGATCAAAGACAGCAGTCATGAGTCTTCCTGTTCACCTGAACCCTCCCCAGTGAGTCTTTCTCTAAGAATCAGAATCTCTGACATCTAAATCTCTACCATCAAACCTACCTTTTGTCTCCAGTGCTGGGCCCTGAGGGCAGCTGAAGGTAGAGATACAGCTTGTCGTTGTCTGAGAATTTCTGTACATCTTGCTGAGGTAGTGGGGAAGAGAGGCAGGAGAAATAATAAGGCCAAGAAGGACCCATTGTAGGACCCTCTGATCCTTACCACAAAGTCTAGCTGACTTAGAGGTTGTCAGACCAAAAACGGGCCTTAGAAGTTACTCCCCACCAATCCCATCTCTCTACTGCCCTCTTCCCCAACATACTTACCAGGATTCCCTCTACTTTGTTCTGCACGGCCTTGCTGTGGGGAAGAAGAGAAAGCTGGAGGTCACACAAGAGATTTCCCCATCTGTTTCTCTGATTGCTAGGGAGGGAGAAGGACTGAAACGCCTAGCAGGTGCTCAAGAATTGCTACCATGACCAAGAATCTGCTCCTGCTCAGATGCACTTGAGTAAGTGAAGTGCTACAGGGTCTGGAACAGGATTTTGGAGATGGTGATGAGTACTTACGAAATGGTACCTCGGAGCTTTTGAAGAAGGGTGGTAGGTTCCCCAGCCTCAGCACCACCCGGGGGGGTCCTTCCCCCAGTCTTGGGGCTCTTAGCATCAGGCTCATCTTCTGCCATCCCGGCATGAGGGCTAGAGTTGAGAGGGGACAGGCCATGAAGATTTAACTCACGCTGGCCTCCCCTTCCCCTGGAGACCCCAGAGCACTCCTCATCTCTCCACCCAAAAAGACAGAGAAACAGAAATAAAGGCTCCGAATTTCCCCAGTGGTCTTTTTCTCACCACTTGCCTTCTCCAAAAAATTAGAAATTATTCCATTACTTCGCCAGGCCCATATATACCCAAAGAGATCTTTGCCATCTCCATTCTATCTGTCCCACCTTTCTGAAGTCTCCTAAATCTGGAAAACTGTAAAGGAAGAGATAGGGGGATGGGGAATCCACGTTAGAACGAAATTTTCATTTCTCTCTCTGACCCCATACTGCCCTCCTCCCCTTCAAAAACAACAATAACAAGCCACAAAACAAAGTTCTCTAAATTCTCTAATATACGCCTCACCATTGAATATGCCTGGGAGGTCAGAAAGGATACGAACATACTGTGTGCCCTTCCAGGCTGGAAAAAATACTGGGCCCAAGTTCTCATTACTTAATCTCGCCACGACTTCCCCCGCCGCTCCCCCTCCCCACGTCGCCGGCCCCTACGTCATCTCCACAACATCCCATCCCGAAGCGCGCCCCCACCTCCCTCCCTGCCCCCTCCATTCAATCCCCGGTTGCTGCAAAGTGGGGGGCTCAGGGCAGCGGAACTCATGGGCTGGGCGTAGGAAACCCGGTAGGCGAAATGGGGTCCCAGATTCGGGGCACGTGCACTTGGATGAGGAAGCTGTTGAAAACACAGCCAGAATCTTTTTCTGCTTTCCTCCCAACTGATATTGCCCCCTCCCTACCTCTGAACAGGCAGTCGCCTTCCAACACAAGCAACAATAAAGGTAGGGGAGAAAGAGAAACTACCTCGTAGCCACCTTCTCTCCAGCCCAGCCCCACGGTCCTGGCCCAGCCGGCTCGTGCGTTGCTTTATTTTCCTTTTTCTGAATGGTTGCAACAGCCGCGATCTGCCTAGATACACGGACAGCCTGCTCTATCATTGGTCGTTGCTGCCACCCGGAGACAGAAGGCGCCAGGCTCGCACCGGCGGCAGCTAAAGTCTGCCTGGTAACAGAATCTGATTGGTCAATAGGAGAGGGAAAATCCAAAGTTGGTCTTATTTGAGTCAAGAGGGGGAAGTCCGGGTTAGGTTTCGGTTAAAACTGGGGTCGGTTGGGACTGCAGGTCCCGAGAGATTCTTCTCTTAAAGGGACCGCAGGACGCAAGACCAGGCGCTGGGCTTCATTTGGAGCTTTCTCTTCTTTTGCCCTCTCCTTTTGCGTTTCAGTTTTGTCTTAAGAGCTGCTGGAAGAAGAGAATCAATGGATGATAAAATAACCGGAAAATTACGGGTAGTAGCGATGGAAGTTCGCTGTAAGCTCATATAGCTCACCCCTCCATCCACATGCAATACAACCTGCAGACACATTCACAACAAATCTGCAATCACGGGGCTCTCCTTCATCCTTAATGGAGGCCTGGAAACCTCAACAGTTGTACCACATTAAACTAAAAATGCTTTTATCCCCCTTAGTGTTTGGTTTCCCGTGTGTATAATACTTTCCTTCCAAGGAGTTGCTAATGCGTTTGCATCCCCTTGGTTTTGCAGTCAGTGAACACTGGAATTTTGACTGACTGCCACACGGGGTGCTGGATGTCCACATGAACTTTTTACCCTCAGGGAACATTATACGGAGTAGGGCATGGGTTCTGGACCCTCTTAGTTAAAAATTCTTTTAGGTCATGAATAAGATGAAAGCAATAGACACTCTGCCATGAAAAGTGCACATACAGACCAAGTTTTGCATCTAGTTTTAGAAAGTGGAAATGGACTACAGGTTGCCAATCTCTTAAATGGATGTATTTTGTTTTGCACGGCACATGTTATATGCACAACTATATTTGCCCGTCCTGACTTCTAGTATGTTCTCCAGGCTTATCATTCATGTGCTTTTGTGAAGAAGACAGCAGTGCTGCCTTATCACCCCCGCACTTTACAGCCTCTGTTTCCCTACCACCAGCTTCTGTGAGCACTGGAGGAACCCAGTGGATTGTGGGGTTTGGGGAATATAGACATATTGGCAAGAAGGTTTTTTCTAATAATAGCTAAAATTTATTTGGTGTTTATTTTGTGTCAGATGCCATACCAAATGCTAAACACCTCATAATGCTTGTAGCAGCTCTCTGAGATAGGTACTATTCCCGTCTCCATTTTACAGATGAGGAAACAGATTTGGAAAGGTGAAGGGACTCATCCAGAGTCACATCTGTAGTAAGTGCTAGAATCAGGATTCAAGGCCATCCTCTTGAACACTGCCCCAGACCGCATGGATACATATTTGCAGACACTCATGTACAAACATGAGTATAGATTGATGGATAGATACCCAAACACCATTGTGTGGTATAAAGGGGAATCTAGAGCACTTTGATTGGAAATAGAATTTTGGGTAAATTATGCCGGCTTTAAAAAGTGCAGGTAGGGGGGAGGGGGGGGCAAGGGCAACATACGTAACTTAAACATCTGTACCCCCGTAACATGCTGAAATAAAAAAAAAGCATTAAAAAAAGTGCAGGTAACAGGAAATAATTGGAAGCTTCAGTAAGGGGAGAGAAAGTATCATAGCTATGTATGGGCGATGATTTTGACAACACTGCAGAAGGTGAGGTTGAGTGGGGAAAAAGGCTAGAGATGGGGAAAACAGGGAACTATTAACTTAAGCTAGGCGTTGTGCTAAGAGCTGGGGATATAGGCCGGGCGTGGTGGCTCACACCTGTAATCCTAGCACTCTGGGAGGCTGAGGCCGGAAGACCG